TTTTTTTTTTTTTTTTTTTTTTTTTTTTTGCTCTTCTCTAACCAACCTTAAATGTTTTGATTTCGTTCATACCCGTTTATAATCACACCATTAACACACCACTAACAATAATCTATCAGTGTTGTTTCATTTATTTCATTATTACTATCACAACTTTAATTTCCTTTTTAAAACCTGGTAGTTTACCTCTTTATCTTTCAAATGCATTATAAAATAAAAATATTAATCTTAGGCAGGCGCTGTTTCTCCGATATATTTGACCAAAACCAAAAATCTTATTTTCCTGCTTCTTTCTTGAACCTTCTTCTGTCTGATCGTTATAATCGCAGGTATGATCGCAGGTATAAATCTAATAAAAAAGAAGTGATTGAATAGATTATAAATGCATATTTATTAGGCTTATCAACATGCTTTATGCAGTTTTAACCGATTTTTTAAATACGTCGTAAATCAACATAAAAAAAACTATTTATCCTACTAATAAAAGAAGTCTGTGACGTTAGCTTTATCAAGCCAACAGAAGTCTCTGTTGACCGACATTAGAACAACAAAAATGTTGAGACTACTGCTCCTCCTTAACCATTATCTGGATGTAAAAACCCAATCAAAGCAAATCCACAAACTGAAAGTGTATCGGGGTTGAAGAGCAAAACTTGAATAATTTCACTATAAACCATGTTTTGTAATATTAAAAGTGCACTATTATTTTCTAGACCTCCCAAATCTTCCCAAAGTTTTAATAATTGGGGGATGACGACTGCTAGTGACTATTATACAGTCACGATGAATGCACTTTAAGACAATGCCTGAATTATTGATGCAATATCAGTTTCACATAATATCCTGCAATTGAAAAACGTTGATTTCAAAATTCTGAATCGAATTTGCCATCCTACAGTTGTTCAAACACCTTCCACTAAGTTACTGACAAGAGGAAGTAATATGAATCTTTTGTAATATCCTAGCATATATGATTTTGAACATCAAATCTAAAAACTTATAGGGCGTGGTGGCTCTATAATGCAAGATACACTAAATTCTTAATCAAATGTTAATGAGACCCAGTAGGACATTTGCAGATAACTGCGCTATTTAGGATGGCAAAATAGTATTGTACCTCGCTGCAGAAGTTGACAAAAAAAAAAACAGGAAAACTATGAAGATCATAACTGATGTACACCCAACACTTTAGATCTTGAGAAAACAACAATTTCGGAGTAATTTGCAAATATGAATTCCACTAATTATAGAAAAATCTCATATTTGAAAATGCCAAATAATCTGATCGAAATAATGAACAAAAAGATTCAGAACACGATGAATTCAGTTATAAGAAATCTACCAAATCATCACCATGTAAATAGCAAACAACATGTAAACCTAGCTGTGCTGCACTTGTTGATATGAAACAGCAACAAAAATCAAAATACCAAAAGTTCAACAGATTTTTTTCAACATGAAGAGACCTTTAGTTACACTCCCTAACAGCTCATCTTACAAGCTTTTCCCAGCAATTTTTTAATTAGGAAAACAGGAGAAATTTGCAATTGACATGTCACTGACACTCTGAAATCAAACCGTTTCAACTTTATTCAACTAAATTTTTTAACCTAAATATAGATACTTATCCTTCCGACAATGACCCACCGTTAGCGCACAAGAAACCTCGATAACCGCATATGAGCAGGCCAAACAGTCTACTCCGACTCCCACCATCTCTCCACAGATCGATGGCAGAACATTAAAATGACATTTGTAAAAAAATGATCAGGGCTTTCTGTTAAGAGAATTATCAAAAAAACCTGAAACCTGCTTTCAGTTTGAATTTGGATGGCGTCTGTGAGCTAACCCAAACCAAAACCGTTACCAACAGTGTACTTTAACAACGATAAAACAGTAAAAAACTTATGATAAATAATTTATAACATTCTACCATTTAAATATAC